TTTTTGACAACCATCGCTTCAGCAAACAACTAACGTTTGTCTCCATACTAGGGCGGTTATTCGATCGGTTCTTACTCACGGCAGTTATTTCGTCCAAATAGGGTTTGTTATGACGGTGACCCACTGGATATGCAAAAATTCCTACATATCAAAACTAGCAGATGCCCATACATATCCAGCTATGAGTCTGAACTCAAAGCTTCCATAGGTATCGAGAGCAAAGTTGGAGTTCTTTCAAAACCTGTAAAAACTGTGGTGAAACCTGATAGGCTTGGTGACCTCCAGATCCTCCGTTGGGAATTATCTGATCAATCAATAAAAGTTAGAATCCTAACGAACTTAAAGTAAAGGCTAGAACAAACAGATAATCGTTCAGTTGTAACACCTTTTCGGTGCCTAGCTGCCATGCCACTTAAAGGAAGCACGAGGGCTGGGATACTGTCAGGTTTCTTAAGCCTAGACACAGGGGAAGTCGAGAGGCGGGTTCGAACACAGGCCTCCCGGTCAGTAAATTCGCACTCAAACCACTGAGTCATCTCGCTGCAAAAGCACGGTACTCAGCTGATTGATGCGAGAAAGCGTTTGCTTTTGGAGAAGACACAGTAGATAGAAAATCAATTTTTATCAGAAACAAAAATCCGCTGCCACCTGTTTTAGCATATCTCATCCAATTGTACGTAAAACAAACGTTTTCTCTCCCATGCCGGTGAGTTGCTCAAATTTGGGGTTTTCTTCCACACCCGCACGTGATATTACTGAAAGCACACTTGAACCACATGTAACATGTGGTTCATTGTTTGCTTACATAGGTCGGAAACAGGTCTCGTGTTTTTCATCCATGCACGCATCCAGGGGATGGTGAGGCAGCAACATTCGCATACAGTGCGAGTATGCTGACCATGCAATAACCGCTTCCACATAGCCATTCTTACAAATCACAGCTGGGCGCTATCCTTAGTACTCTAGTAACAAATAACTAGTTCGACTAGTTGCAGGGCGTTAACTATTCACGCGGCTGCCCGGTTTTGCTTCCAGCTCCGTTACCCGTGACATCGATTGTTTTTGCTACTTTCAAGGAGAATGACGAATCCGACATTACTGTTGTGACCAATTTGAGATTCGAACGTTTGGGAACATAGAGACCCATGAAAAATATGAAGTACGAAGTACTTCTGGGTTAAACTTGACACCACCAACCCTACCACATCGTGCGACCTTCACCGCTATTCACAATCTCACTCATGAGAACAACACAGCAATTACGGCTCCTGTGACATAGCTGCATAGATGTTGTATGCCCTGTTTCACACTTTTGTTGAATTTATCGATCTTCAGGAAAGCAACTGATTTGACAGCATGATAGTGTTATGTGCGGTGTGTCATATTCTTGCCATATGTACTTGACGTTCTTAATACTGATGCAAGTGCAAGCAGACAAAGGATGGAACCTAGTTCATCAAAATTTAGCTACGCTAGAAACAAAACAGATCGGGTTGACAAAGAATAGTCATACTCTACAGTGCAAGTTAGGTGGTTTGGGAGTGAAGCCATGGTGTTCCTGGCGCCAGGAGTATGAGGAGAGTAAGGTGTTTCCACCAGCTGATCAGTATCTACATGTTTACGGAAGCCACGATGTTACCCTATCCAGGTAAAGGACGGACTTAAGTGGTCGGACTAAAAAGCTGTCTATTCCGATCGCTCAACACGATTGCTTGTACAATATATAATAAGGTCGAAATACTTTTAAAGACCAAGAGTCCTAGTGTAACTCAGGACGCAAGCCCAGTGTAGAACACCATGAGACAGACACGCTTGAATTACTAGCTGCGTTTTCAACTCACGCTAACCTCTAGATCCAAACTGATCGACTTTGAGACTGACTTCCACAAAAGAGAATATCAACCACGTGATTATGGGTTGGGTCGTTATTCTGGAAATAGATGTAAAAACGGTTACCGATCACAAACAAATGTGAGTGAAGAACCGTCGCCAGCGACGCGGAAATGTGGAATCCTTCGAGGAAGGAGCGGGAGTAACAGACCGGGAACGCATAAACCTAGATGATATCGACCTAGCTGATTCTAACAAAAATCGGTTGGTCAACCACGGAAACTCACAGGAAGCCGGTTACACAGTTCACACCGGAATACGGGCTCGGATTTACAGAAGTCAATCATGAGTGAATGAATGAATGAATGAAGGAAGGAAGACCGGAGGAAACCAAACGTACTAGCGAGAGGATGATTGGTGGGCTTCAGTTGTCAAAAGACCGCCATTTTTGTCAGTATGCATCCTCCCAGCAGAAATGTCGTTCAGAAACCCAGCAGGAAAAGTTTTGCGAGCAATTTTCGTCTGTCACCACATCCATTCGGTTGACTGACAGCCTATTTCTCATGGGTGATCCAGACACCCGAATCGGTCGCTCAGACTGTGAAAACAAATGATGCATTTACAGAAACACTTTTGCTGTAATAATGACTCACACGTGAACACTACTTTTGTAGTTTACTGAGCTGTTGTATCCCACTCACTACGGTGCCGCAGCAAAACATGGCGTTGTACCGATAGTGGACCAACTTCTCACGCAGGATTCTTCGGATTCAGATGAATGACCGAACTCTGAACAGTCTAGTTCTCCAACGAACCAAGGTTAGCGGTATCACGTGCTCATCTATGCAAAACTGACTACGCTAGTTGGGCCACGTAAAGCGGGTGGCTGAGAACCGAATCACGAATTACTTGGTGGACGGGGCTGAAACCGTAAGTTTAGATCCACTTCTTCGTAAGGTAATGTAACTGACTGAACTTGATGAGCTTTGAAGGGCAGAGCAGCTCCAAGCTAGAAAAGTGTCATTCGGAAAGTCTGTACCATGTCCACATGGACACGTGCAGCTTGTAGGCGTACCAATGGGTTGAGCAGGATCAGCCTGTACCCACTGCTAATCAAAACATGTTAGACATATTAAGAGGGACAGAACCAGCAGCCATGCAATTACTTATTTACTGCCTGGTTGAACATCGTTATCTACCGATTAGTGGCAACACTTGTGTGGTACTATACTTGGGAAGGTGTGGCGCTAAGCTGAAACTTGAAGGATTACGATTAATGACAAACAGCTGGTGCTTGTGTCCAATGTTGTGCCAGCTGATGTTTTGCAGCTGCGTGTCCGCCCGATGAACTTATTCCTTCAGGTCCATACAGCCTCCATGCAAACCATTCATGGCTGTCGAACTATGGGTTGATCACTGAACGACCGCACATAACTGTGACAAGGCAGAGACTTTGAAGTCGTTTGACATACCCCTGAAGCTAGGTAATTCCGGAGTAAACCTGATGAATCCAGATAGAATCGTAGAGGCCTGCTAACAACCACCAGTCGGCATAAGGGCAGTGAAACGATAGCTGGCACCGCCGTAACCAGTCAATTCCTTTGCGTTTGATTACAATACCGCACTTCCCCCGTACCATCACAGCTTCCGTATGCTGCCCAGTAGGAACCCCTTCGGTTTTCATCGGGAATCACGCGATTGGTGAGAGGCAGATCAGGAATTATCACTGCACACTGTATGGTGAACAAATGTCACGGATTGTCCATAATCTAAACCAATTAGACAGGTGCCCTTGGCTATCCATCGATCATGCTAACCTAACCAGTTGTCGGGCGTCATTTCGTTTTTCTGTGTCTATTTGACAAACACTGACTGTGCATCTTATTGGCTGGCAGCAAGACCACCCAACAGTACCACATTAAAGGTTACAAATTAGCGATGCCCAGAATAATAAACAATTGTTACAACAGGTTGTACAGAAGACTCAGGCGATTCGATATCATTAATTTACATCAGGTCAAACGTGTGATGTCGGAAGTACAATTGACTAATGATGCTAGCTAGGTTAACAAGTGAAAATGCCGCGCGCATGGGTGGCACTTCATACTTTCTGCGTATAGGCTCGTCTACTGAGACATTTAATCTTTCTTCATAATGTTCCATGAATTCAGATGAACAGTCGCACCTGATACAACAATGAATACGCGTTCGCTACCTGACACGTATCAAATCATTGGCTCGAATTTTCCTTCGTCGTTTGCATTGAAGATGTGGTCAGATACCGAAAAGCCCTATTGGGAATCGTCAGGTGGGCGTATGGGAATCGGCCGCCAGTGATCATGAGATTTTTTGGATAAGACAATAGCGGGTTTGACTGACAATCAAAGGCTGAATGAAATTATCAGATGAGCCAACCTGTCTACACACTCCTGATAAGGATAGTAACGGCTAATTATTTCCCGCGTCCGATCGCTCTACGCATGGCTGATGAGTCCTAATAAGGCTGAAGGCATTCATGCGGATGATTCTTACAAGAGGGGAGCATGTCTCCCTGTTGATCCTTTGAAAAAAAATGCCAGTTTCGAGAGGACACAGCCTAATCCACTGGCATCATGAAAATGAGTTCATCTGAATTATCAGCATCACTAATCTATTAAAATGAATGGTACTGGAAGCCGTAATGCGGAGGAAGTACCACGCTTACACATCCACATATCATACTCGCTTAATCTCTCTGCCAGCCCGTGTTGACGACTTGCATAAACTGTCAACTGGACCATCGTGAGTATTCGATTGCATGTTATATGTACACTGAAAAAGCGAGCCAAAGCGGTATACCATTCGGGTTTGACTGTATAAAGTACAGTTGGTTTCATGTGGCCCAGAAAACCTATAACAATTCTGGTAAATCGAATCCATTGTCTTATAAAAAAAAGGTTCTCATTTAGGTCATGACGCCATTTTGTTTAACGACTACAACTGCGTGATTAGCCGAACAGAACCTAGGCGTTCGGAGTGCGCATTCGACCGCACGTTTACAAAATATGTTTTTTTGATACAAGCGAACAAATACTATCAAATATACTGTACAAAAACGTGGATGCATACATCTACAATCCAAATTTCGGAAAATAGATGAAAGTGGGTTACAAAATCGAAATGTGGTGAGATCAGCTCTGAGTTTGCCAAATCCAGGAAATATGTTGTGAGTTTGGAATATCGAATCTCAACTGCAACTTATCCGATGTCAAGGGAGTGTCCACGTTCCTACCAGCATGCCAGCTGAGCTCCAACACCAAATTGACGGGCTGATTTAATAAAAAGGAAAGTTGATGGACTGCTCTGAGTGATGCAAGCAGACTGCCATCAGATGTTTTCGGTCGGAGAAGCTCGTTAGTAATCTGTTTCCATCCTCTGTCCTGTACGCTAGAGGAATTCGACTGGGTAAGCAAGGCCATCGCTGAAGCGAAGGATGCACACACAATCAGCTGACCGGTGGGGTCCTCCACTTTAAGGAAAACGAAAGGGGCCAACATGAAAATCTCAGAACCTTCAGCTGCAGAAGTTCTTGACAGGTGACACGAACAGGGTAGCCTGGGAAAAAAGCGGGAAGTGGATGGATAGCTAGGTCCCAAAACGATTGGTCACAATCCAACGTCACTGAATCCGGACAATAAATGGAAAATGAGCCGATTTCCCGTCCTATGCAAAGTCAACTAAGCTGGAACATGACTTGCACAAGGCATGGTTCAACTAGTCGTTGAAACGACGACCAACCCAATGATTAACAAGGCCGACGAAGATCGGAACGTATTTGATACAGCAAAACCTTGTCCAACCAAACTGACTGGGTGAAACCCGCAACCTGGAGCAAGGTGATTGAGAGAATTCCAGGAATAGAGAACCAAAACGCCATTTATGACGATCAAGTAAATGAACAGCTGCTGAGTAGTACAAGAACCATTACAATAAGATGTAATGACCGAACTGTATACAGCTGGCGAGATGATCGAAGTATCTAACCGCCAAGGAAATGAAATCAGTTGTGGCACACTCGGTGCACACATAACGCGCGGCTCTGGGAAGGCAGGAGGGCTTAAATACTCTTAGGAAGTCCTAGAGAGCAATGAAGAGCCAGGGAATAAATCTAAACAGAGCACTTTTAAGGAGGAGTTCCTCGAACTGCCCTGGTCTCGTCATATCACAAGAGCGCAAAAAACCGATCAGTAAGACTACCGTAAACAGATTTGAAAAATGTTGGGGTCTCGAGGCGAGGACTACGGTTCATGTCACAGAGATTGATGGCCGAGGCGATAGAAATCGCCAAGCTTTCCAGTCTAACAGAATAGGAGACGTGGAAATGACAAACTAGTGGAGAACGGTTTCGGATCAGTCGAGCTGGCATGTGATGGTGCGCGGTTATCATAGGAATCTGAACATAACCCATTTTCCTTCCATCCAACAAGATTTTCGCAATGCTCACAAGCCCATGAAGACCGATGAAAATCTACCAGTGGCACCCGCGATGAATCATCAACTGAAGTCACGTGAATTGGAAGAGTAAGAAACCGAACCCGATCGGAACTGATTTGAAACTCCCCCGACCCATCAACGCAAGATTTTAGCAAGCACACTAACCGACAAGAGTTGTTATTTGAAACTCAAAACTGATCTAGTGCGCTAATATGAAGAAGTCTTACTGCTTGGTTCTGTCTGCCTTAAAACCTGGCCAACTTAGTAGCCTGCACACTTGGCCTGATGAAGCCTTTGAGTCGAAAGCGAAACGTTGCCCAATTAAAAACTACCGATTGTTTACCAAGCCCTTCTGAAACGATACTACCGGTTTCCCCTAAGGTATTACCGTTTAAGATTGGAAGATAAAAGCAGATGACCCTCGACATTAGGTAGGCAGTAGGCATATCATTATGCAGAGATCGTAGTTGTCTTTAGATAAAAGAAGCCTTGGAGAGTTAGAACTCGTCAGATCAAGTCGGTTTTTGTGCGTGACCGCAGTCACATGTGGCTCTATTCAGTGAAAAAGTGAAAGAGTGAAACGGTTGGGAGTTTGGAATACTGCATCTAACTGTGTACTCAACAAGAAGGCACACTGTAAGAAGTCCGCATAACCAAGGACGACGAACTAAATAACACCATCATAAACGCGATAGAAGAATGCTACCCACATGAGAGTGACTTACTCGCCCACGTCCAAACAGCTCACGCGAATAGCCGAACGACACTGAGAACAAATTAGCAGTGAGACATTTTTCAAATCGTCCACTGTACGCGGGAATATGTCCAGCACGCGGGCCATTAGGCGAGCCATAACCACAGTCCTATTCCGTCGATTGGCACCATCAGACGTGATTGGAAACCAATGGACATGTGGTGGGGTAGAGGATATGGATGAATTCGTATTGAATAGCGAAGTAGAACTGAGGCCGACCTTGTCTTTTTCGAGCTGCTGATATGTGGTTGGAATGGCACATAGCTCAGATACGGTGAGCTACGGACAAAAGTGCACGAAGATAGTCAGGTAGGACAACACACTCAAGCGAAGAATGCACAGCTGATTATAAAATGGAGTGAATTTTCCTTCAGTGATCCGAAGAACTTGCGAAATCTAGGTAAACTTAATAAGGAAAACATGGTTAGTTTACCCATGACCTCTTGACCACCTCGTCCGTCGATCATAGTATGACTTCAAAAGCACTCAATTTCCTGGGATGAAAAAAATGTAGACTTCAAAACTCACACTAATGTCCCATGATTTCTGAACTATGTGATGCTCACGCAAACTCACTGACTACACTGGGGTCAACGTAACACAACCACGCAAAAAAAAGAACTATTGTAACTTAACTAGTTCCAAAACTACAACTTCTACCAGTATTATTTCGAATTCCCTGATGAGGTTGATGGCATTAGCTCAGATTGGATCGGAGGTCATTGACATTCTTTTTCGTGCACAGTTGAATAATTTGGCACGGTAGGCTATTCAAATAAAATCAGTAAGCTATTTTATGCTCGTGACCGAAATTTTCACCATTTACAGTAACCTTATCCCAGCTGTGGCTATAATCAGTACCACTGGTAAGCGCGGAGCTTCTGCTATCTTCTGCTATGCTTGGTAAGGTTCCGATCGCTAATTGGTCATAATTATTAATTGTAATTTAAATTCGAGACAGTACGCTGCGTATTGACTTTAGGCTTTTCATATCATATACCAGGTGGCGCGCAATTTGCTCAACAAGATCTGAACCGAGTTTGGCCTGGAACTCCTAGGGATAACAATTTGGTTTTCACTTCACGAAGTTCGATTAAGGGGTCAATTTTCACATTTTTTGACCAAGTTCTCGTTTTTCATGCAACATAGAGTGAGACAACGCGCGATTAGGGAAGGCGAAATTCGTGAACAAAGTTATAGGAAACGACGACTCGGTCTAATGCACAACCTCAACTCGGTTCGAACATGTGTGAGGCAAAGTACAGTATGATGGCATCACCACCGAATTGGATTCAGAAGAGTAATGCAAAGTCAGTAATGCAAAATCACCGCATCGACTGATTGGATAATATTTTAAAAAGAGATTGCATTAAGTAAATGTGTTAGTTTTTGCAACTGAATCATAAGAAAAGCAGAAGGAACACAGAAATCGTCAACCATCGTTTGCTAGCACACAGCTCATTGTCTAGAGTAAAACATACTGCTTTAGTTGGTCGTTCAACCTTCAGCTCCAGATAAAACGGTCTTGATTTGATGCCTTCCTGTAGGTTACATGACAAACCGTATAGACCGGTCGCTGAAAAAGAATCATCCGGTCTTGCTTCGCGGTTTTGGGTTGATGTGTACGACACGCCCTCTGAGAAGCCTGATCGTAGCAGTTGTAATCCGCGACCAAATCTATGTCCACCACCATGCACCAAAAGGCGAAGGCATCCGTCTTTGTCACATTCTAGCTGAACCAGCAAGAAGAAAAAACGAACCTCCAGAAGAGCTAGCATGTCGAAAGAAAAAATTCCTAAATCCAACAGAGGGTTTCAAAAAATGATCGGAGTCCGTACTCAACCCACAAATTTTCATGCGGAAGCAACGAACCGGGCATATAAGGCAGATAAAAATAAACAATGTGTGAGACCGGTCACTTTAGTTGCAACACGTGTACCGCAGAACGGGCGCTTGCAGTAAGAACAACGCTAACAAGGAATATGATTCCGGCAGTCTGCTTGCACCCATGTGCCTTAGCTTACAGGAATGTGACGCTGGATAAGAGAATCTGTAATTTGAGTGGTCAAGTAGGACTGGGGACATTGACTATCAATATTCAGTGATTGAACATAGGTTAGACGTAGAGAGAAGTTGTCGGACGGATACGCCAGCGCCAGTAAGAAGTTTTTACACGCAACTCATTTCAATGGGTTAATAAAGTCACCTTCATACGCAGCTTACTAATTTTTCAAGTTAGATAATGTTTGCAAAAGCCTATTGTCAGCAATCATGCCTTCGTAAATCGAAGGGCCATTGAGCGTTAATGTACCACTGACGGGTCAAATAAGTTCACAGGGAATACAACCACTGAATATGACTCATGACGTGACGCGTAACCTATTAGGAATATTCTAACACAATAGGGAAACATCCGATGGAGGCGAAAGCTTTCAGCGATGTGCGCTGCCAGAATGCTTGCAATCGCATTTGCACAGAATTGGTGTGCTCAGATTAGATCATGCATAAATGACAACTTCAAAGGGCTGTCAACGAATTTTTAGCAACCTTATTAGTAGTGCGTTGCGAATATATATGTACCGGTGTATCTCGAACATCGTAGTAACTGAAATTTGCACAGGTGTGCACAGATTAGATCATGCATAAATGACAACTTTAAAGGGCTGTCAAAGAATTTTTAGCAACCTTATTAGTAGTGCATTGCGAATATATATGTACCGATGTATCTCGAACATCGTAGTAACTGAAACATGAGGAGGCCTGGTGCAGCACATTCAGTTGCCTGGAAACATCATAAACGAGAGATTCAGCTGGGTCTCAGGTGTCTCTCGCAAAACCAAATTTGTTTGCCAGATTAACAGTTCTTTGGACCCACACCCTCAATTCCATCATCTGTCAACTTGCGTTACTCTAGGGCATTTACAAAGCGAGGTATGGCCTGGTTGCGCAAGTCATTCCATAGGTGCAATTCCCCTGACCATGAAAGTATTTCATCGGAGGCACCTTTTCCATACACAAATCCCACGCGATCAATCAGTACTTTCGTCTAGGTTGAAGTTTACAAACTTCCGTTCATATTCCTCAAGTGGTATGTGCATGCATGCATTATCGGCCAATTCGACATCCATGCAGGACTCGGACCCGGGCTGTCGGAATGGCAATTCAGTCTTATCCACTCAGCTATCTGGTGAGTGTTTCAAGCCCGTTCTGAAATGGGTTCACTTTATTTCGTGCGAACTTACTCCTTGGGTCTACACCAGCTTCAAATATTAGGTAGCTTAAAGTGAAACGGAGATCAGAGAGGTTTGCAAAAACACATTTGTGAGAAACTTCATCATCCGCTTCTGAAAACAGCACCTGGAAGGACCGACAAGAAGTGGTTTCCCTAAGAGATTATCATTTCGGGACAAATTGTCATTAAAATATGCTTCAAGGGACCAAACCAGGGGCGATCTGTTAAAATGGAGGGTGTTCTCTCCGAAGGACAGAATTCGAATAAATAAACCAAAAACAGCCAGCATCAACTTCTGAACTAACCGAGAAAGCTTAACCAATTTATCACATAGAATCCAACCAGAGACGAAAACCCATTTGGGCAGCCCATTGAACACGAATCTTACAACAGAACAGCAGATCAAACGTCAAAGTAAGCGAAAGATCAGCACTATTTCAATTTATGAAAAAAGCCCGTTGAGCACGCATGGAAAAGAGTGGAAACACACACAAAAAAGGTGCTCACTGGACGACATATAGTCACATGCAGATTGTGAATTCGTACGATATCGCCTGGTTTCAGATTCTGCATGACCGGAGCAGCTGAATGCTCATCGTAAATGAAAACCGGCACGGACCAGTCCTCCACCGAAGGGCAAGAGCTTTCATGAGCCGTGATGGTACATAACTTGGGGTCGTGGTGAGCATTTTGCGACAGACGAACCATGTGTCCCTTCGGTGGCCGCATGAAAGACGGTAAGGAGGTGGACGACGAAAAAGGGGGTGCACCATCCCAAATATACAGCAGACAACAGCGGTCTCGCTGGGGATAACGATAGATGGCCACCACCTAATAAAGGGAATGGAACACAGTATCTTTTATTGGACGGAAATTAAACGATCAAAATCGATTACCATATTAGATGAGTTGGTCTGGATATAATCATCGAATGTCTTAACGCACATAAAAGCGTATGAATTAGGAGTGGAGTTTCTGGCTTAGTAAACTCCTCAGATTCCGGCTAGTGCGTTAAACATTTTCGAAAAGACAGCCAATGGCGGCGGAGTGCTCCAAACACAGTGCACGTACATCATTGTCGTTGCTGTCGGAGTACACTTAGATGAAATGAATCGAAGGTTCGGCAATACGCAATGTTCTAGGGGCACAAAGAACACTAACCGAGGACCTGTCCAACAGCTAAACCACAGACCTACAAACATAGAGACGTAGCTGGTAAATAAAAGAAGCTTCTGAAACGCGCAACTAGTTTTGCTGAAGACAACACTCAAGTAGGAGGCCTAACGTTTGTCTCTCATAAATCGATCCTATCCCTAACTTAACTTGGTTCATGCTAGACTGGAATGATACCGGAATGTTTGAACTGTTTTTTACTGATCGTGACAGGCGTTATGAATCGTGGTTGCAAACCAGCCATGTGTCACATGAACACCTTGAAAGCTATCGTAACCAGCAACAGAGTGTGATACAAGCTGATTTGCGTGGCAACAAAGTGGAAAAGATCGGAACTTGAAGTCTGTTACCAATTTATAGCCAAACATAATCCATGGCTGTAAAAGTATCGAATGCAAAGGCTTCTACCAATTGGGTCAGAATTTCATTCTGTGTCTAACATACCTGATGATCACCTTCGCATCCCTCATCCTGATCTGATATGCTATTATGGGCCTAAAGACCGATAAGTGTCAACAGCACAAGGTCGAAGTCGATCTTTAACGAAGATTTTGTAAAGAACATTGGATGTATTTGCGGAAAGTCTCACGATTTTCCTCCTCCTTTTGCTACTCAAAAAAGTTTGTGAGCGCATAACCCAGGTTTAACCCTAGGAATGGTTCCGGCAAAGCCCTTCTCACGACTACGAGTCTTGAATGTGACCGCCATACTTAACGGTTTTCGACTCGTTTAAACAATCCTCCGTATGGTATGAGACGCCAATTTTGATTATTCCACACCAGACGGGGCAAACATTAGGTCCAAATTTCGCTCTCAGTAGAGCTCGACTCTTGAAGAGACGGACCACACTTGTCAAAAGGTCGAGATGGCTCAAGTGATTAGAGGGCGAATTTACTAACCGGAAGGTCCATGGTTCGAACCCGACCTCTGTCTCTCGACTCCCCTGTCTAGGCTTGGGCAACCTGGCAGCATCCCAGCCCTCATGCAACCTTCGGGTGGCATGGCAGTTAGGCACCGAAATGGTGCTACAGCTGAACGATTTTTTTCGTCAAAAGGTCAGGGGTCGTGTGTACCAGACAACAGCAAGTACGGTGTTGCTGTATGAAGGCACACCTTAGCCTCTAAGGATAGGTGATTGAGTTGCCTTTAAGTTTTTGGCAGTCGACGCTTCAGAGGCGCTGCTGATCTTGGAAGACGTAAGCCGATTCGTAACACACTATCTGGAAAACAAGTATTTAATTGTGTAAAACGTAGTTCAACCTAGGAGAGCACCCAGGATCATTGGCTGTAGTGGCCTGGCCAAGTGTTACACACGGTGAATAATTGCCTGTGGATGTGTCGTTTTCCATGTATCTTTCACACTGGCGCAAACTGCACGTAAAGAAATCGTAACTTGACAAAGGAGGCTGTTCCACCTTCGTGGATGGCCTGGTGACTAATCATCATCATCATGTCAGCGTCATCTGATTGGACATTTGGAAGCGTAGGCACCCTAGAATGAGTGCAGTGCACAAATTTCAGGTTACCTCCCTACCCCGTCTTTTTTCCTTCAATTTAAGGCTTTAAAGATGCTCAAGTAAACTATGTGGTTGTATGGTGAGCATCCGTATCAACATGAATGATACCGTCTACGACGATGATGATTATGCGGATGATGTATCAACCTAAACTACCAAATCTCCACAGCTCAGTACCGGGCTGAAGTTGTTAATCGATATCAATGGCGTTCTTGTTCCTGTCCAGATTGCCTAAATGGGTGTTTGGAGGTGTAGGGACCCCGAAATGATTGTTGTAAGCTAGCCTCACAATAAGGCTTGCAAATAAATCATGGTTGTACGGCAGCAAAGTGTCAATGAACAGTGATGTCATGCTGTACACGATGAGTATGGTGATGACACGAAGTGGTGATTCGGTATCCCTAGGAGACCAGACCATATTCCTATCCCATGTTTTTGTTAGTTTGTTAAAAGACGTCCGAAAATACAGTATGCATAAACTGGCTGACCATAAACGCACATGACTGGCACATTTTAGCGCGAACGTGATTCCTGATCACGTTTAAATAACGAGCATCAGTTTTTTTTAACATGGCGCCAATTCAGTCACGGAAATTCGTCGTACAGGTTCATTAACAAAGATCTATATCCCCATGTGCCTCCGCTGGACTTATCATGGATAAAAACCCTAATGTCTGAAATTTATCCAAGTGATGTGCTTATAAACGTGAGAGGACTTAAACAGATGAATGAGTACTACGGCATGAATAACAGTGCTCTGCTTGAAGAGTGCTCATGGACACTGACCACCCATCTTATAGAGATTACCTTACAAAAAACAGACTTCGAGGATTTACAAATGAGACAGAGCAACTGGGGGTCGTGTTTCTTGGTTTCAGTGACTATTGTTAGTCCCGTATATTGTGGGAAATAGCGATCTTCCATTTTATTACTTTGCTTCTTCGGTGAACACGAATCAACTAAATTATCCACTGGTCTGTTTCAATGCACACCAACCTGAGGGGCACAGTTCACATGCCATTTGCAGTCGAAAAACAATTATGCTGCTACAAGAAACCCCGGAATCAGTAATTCCAATGGAACTCAGTTCTACTGAATGAATACAGTGACACTCTCCAATGAGGGACAACTCTTGAGAGAAAAATAGTATCCTCTCTATGGGATACTCATGATCGCAAACACTATAAGCTGAGGGTTAGTTAGACAAAACACGTCAAAACTTCTTGCCATCTAGCTTCCCTCATCACAAGCATCTGGATCGGTTTTTTTCCAGTCCGGTCTTTATTTTTTGGAATTACTTGAAGGATTCGCAGAAGTTGTGTCATATAACTCTTGTTTGCACCGTCCTCACCCCATTCCAGCTCAATCATTATGGTTAGTGCGAAGCAAACGGCGAAAGCACTGACCTAGGGTTTCATCATCCGTATGAGAACTCATCAGCTGTATATACCCATGGTAGCAGAGCTTTCACCCTGTACAGCTGACATGTGTGATGAGCGTGTTAACATTTTTCCATTAGCGCACGCTTGAATATATCGAGAGTGCATCACCACTTTAACCTCGCTGTAAAGTGCTTTATGTGCAGCATTCGATATTTGTGTCCACGATCAGACACATAGCCATACTTCCTCGCATCGGCTGTAGTAGAATCATTTGTCACATCCTCTGGTACAGATAATGCACTCAACCCAACATACAAGAATCTAAACAGATTAGTGATTGATATCAGCCGCCTAACCACCATCCTACCCGATTGACCACGCTTAAATTTGCGCTACTGAAAAAGAATGAGTAGTTATATCGTCTGATATTGAATCGCCCAGTGGCCACGAGTTGGTATTTCGGATCAGTGGAGCTCTAAATACATCACCTACCTGACCTTCCGTAGAAGTGAACTCTTCCGGTTGAAGATACCAAAGTCTTTTCACAAGGCTAGCTGGTTTGGTGCATTGTAGGGACTGCGATGGGTCGTTGTGATCAATGATGGGTTCCCGCTCGACTGGACAACCTGGCGAATTAAACCATTCGCGTAACTCTCGAACACGGCGTAGCTCTTCATCACCGAACTATCAAAAGAAATAGCATACATACTGAAAATCACTGGAAGACTCACTAATAGTCTGGTCGACAGTTAATAACCATCAGGTTAACATAACTAGAGAAACATTCCATGGTTTCAAGTCGATTCAAGCGTGGATTTATGTGTAACTATGTGGTGGTGAAATTTCCCTACCCGTAACTTATATGACACGGAAACAAGACATGGTGAATACACCACAGAATGCTTGGACTACATAAGCTAAGAACAGTTAACATTCACAATAGCTGAATTGGATGATGCAGTTTCAGTAAACAGTAACTCATTTCGGGGAGCCTATTGATTGTAACTCGCCTTAATCAGCAATTGTCTGCGCTGGGGTTAGCCGGCACCTTGGATGTAGCCCCCTAGGTATGGCTATATGTCTCAAGGCACATGTAAATATCAACCAAAGAATAGATGAATCGGCATGCGCCATAGGTAGATTGCAGACTCCGCGGTTCATAAGCGGGCTTAAGTGTTGATCCAAGTTTGCATTTGATTACCTCGATGACAGCGTCAATCCTAGTCCGGCTTACTAGCAAAAACAGTTCTGATTAGGTCTGCATGTAGGCGGTGAAAACACCTCCAAACCATCAAATTAAACGTGACTGGAGTGGTTGATCGAGTCGGCCGATACCAAAACACCATTAATGCTCATGCACTGAATAGATTCCCAAAACATGGAGCTTGGGAGTACCTGAGACACACACCACAAACGGGTCTGATGACAGACTGGTCGATGTCGACTTCCACCTTCCAGTCCATTTCTTTGCTGCGCCACAATGTACATTTCAGTTGTCGGTACTCAATGTGGACATTATCCGAATGAGACGTAAGTTCGTGTTCAGCTTGACGTTTCGGAAGAATTCTTAGACTGAGGTAGCTGAACTCTCAAATATTCCCCAACGCCACTTGGCTTATAATAAATGACCTACGATAGTTAAGTGCTGATGGAGAAACTACTTCGGCTTTTGAAACACATTTGTGGCTCTGGGGGAGGAGCACACTGAAGGATTCCATCGGTGACATGCACTGAGGACATCTATGTGACTCCCGAACTCAAGATCGGTGATCTATACTTTCTGTCCGATCTCCACTGTGGTGTTCGAACTCGACCTATCCACATCGACTTCCCCTGTCTAGGGTTGGGCAGTCTGATAGCATCCCAGCTCTCTTGCTTCCTCCGGGCGGCATTGCAGCTAAGCACCGAAAGGGTGTGACCGCTAAACGATTTATGTTTTGATATTCTAGTGGTTCTGTCTGAAATTTGCCGGCCGGAATTACCACTTTCCGTAATTCTATGGCCCATTTAATTTTGCTCTTTTCGACGCGCGCTAATCTCAGGGACGGCCCCTCCACGAACTGTCTTTTAACGGAGACGGCGATCCACTGAAGCATATATCAAATCCAGTGTGAATTGGGGAATAGTATGCTGCGATTTTTCCCCTCGGTATGTATGAAGCTACACTTCTCTTGAGTTCGACTCATTAGTTTCGCATGCAAGATGTGGGTTTGTCCAGCAAAAGCTTCCAAGCAATTCGGTCTGGCCTCTCTGGGGTAAAGAACAGAAAGCCAGCGTGAGAATTCAGAAAACTACAAAATACAAAGACATGGAATGAAATTAAGGCTGTAGCTGTCTTATCTTACTTGAATTTGATTCAGCATTATTGAAAGAACACGGTCATTGTCAGTAATGGACCAAACACTTCTACCACGTAATTACAAAAAAACAAGCTAAATGAATGCACAGACAGCCTAAAACTAATTTACAATGTAGTATATCCATACAATCTTGCAACTAATACAATGCTACTGTTTCTCCTGAATTCGACTTTGGTCGACGAACCAAAATGTATTAGGTTCGTTGCATTGTTATGAGCATCTGTTTACCATACGTGACAATCACACCAGAGACCGCGGATTTGGAGCAGCAGTACAAAGCGGTCTAGCTGTCATCAAAAAAGACAGGAAGGGAAGATTACAGGCGGGTGCTCAAGGGTTGTTTGTATGTATCACTGAAACCAGGAAATTGTTCCTATGGTACAGGAAGTATGTTTAATTCTGCGAATGTATGAAACTAAGAAAAGGCGCTAATACGCAAGAACCTTCCGAATCTGATATAACATGTAGATCTGTAAAAATTGAGAATTTCTAGTTAAAAGAACTTACACTACAACTAGCCTTCGAAGTACGAGGGATCAGCGGATCGGAAGTGCTCCCGGAGAACACAGTGGCTGAAAAGCCAACAGTGCCATAGCCACAACCTTGAAATTCACCACGAAATTCCTTCACTATAAGCCGGTGCATCACGATCACATCACCGACGCACTGAACCTGCCGTCCAAAGGAATGCGTGAAATAGATTTTTAATTGAGGTAATAGCCTGATTAGGGCGGGAGACTCCAACGCATCAATGAACACATACACTCACAACGGATTTATCAAGTGACACTCATTATTAAAAATGGGGGGAAAATATTCAGACTCTGTCATCTACGGACGCATCCCGGCTGAGCATCACCGACTGAGCTTAATTAAATGCCGTATCGTGAGTGTAGGACCCCGATGCCTAGTAATTAAGACCTCTGAAACAAGGTTGGCAGTATGCAACACAGAGAATATGCCAGAAGAGGATTGGGTTACCATACTTCTGTGTGAAACGTACAACTAAGTGACCTTAGAAGGCATTGCAAACTCCAATACACTTATAGAACAGGGAAAATGCTCGATAATAGGGCACACGGTGAACAACCTATGGTTATTTGGGACGGATGGATATTCGGTTGAGTGTTAAATCTCAATGGAAACTTCCGGGTTTCCTGACCACACATGGACAAGACACTACGGTTTTGAACTGAAAATCTGATCACTTCAAATTTGTTATCGGCTAACACTCTATGGGCTGGAATGGTGTTACTGTGGAGCGAATTAATTTCCTGGTTAAGATGTTCCTCAGCTTCCGCACAAAGGATACCTTCTGGTTCATTGATTCGACATTCATCTTCTTCCCCATGGAATGGTATTCTGCCGCATACTGACAATTCCAGCTCCACTTAACCTCTCGAACACTTTGACGTAAAGACTGCAATTGTTCAGCTAGCCTAGCTACCATGCTACCCGAAGTAAGCACGAGGGCTGGGATACTGCCCGGTTGCCCAAGCCTAGACAGCAGCAGTCAAGATTCCGAAGTTGTGTTCGAACCTTCCGGTCCGTAAGCTGGTACCCTATTCACTGGGCTATCTCGAGCTTATTCGACAAGGGTTCGTTGAGTGTGCTGAGATGTTGGACAGGCTGCACCACGCTGTCGTACAGGACACTGGAGTACTACTACAACCGGGGAATCAAGGTCGGCAGGGAAGCAACCCCAAAATATTGCACAGGACTGAGAAGACAAATAGCGTGGACAAAACAGAATGCATACAAGTGATTCGACAATGATCGGAGTAGCCATTTGGGTAGGAGAGGAACTGAAAAAGTATGAGTAAATGGTCTGCTGACAGATAAAAACAAAAAAAAAACAATTGTTCAGCTGTAACACCCTTCGGTGCCTAAGTGCCATGCCATCCGAAGGATGCACGAGGGCTGGGATACTGCCAGGTTGCCCAAGCCTGGACAGGGGAAGTCGAGAGACGGAGGTCAGGTTCGAACCACGGGCCTTCCGGTCAGTAAACTCGCGCTCTAACCACTGTTGGTAAGTGAATGTGCGAGAGAAGCCATCATCCTGCTAATTGCGTACGACCATCTTGGAATGATATGTAGGAGAATCGACAAGGATTTGGCAATCGTTCTCCAGGTAGCAGAGTTAGCTACCTACAACCTACGTTGGTCTAGCTATTCGAACCAGTGAAACCCAAGCGTCATGGAGTGAAATGTACTGTCTAAAATTGAAAGTGGACAGTGTCTAAGGGAGCCGAGGATTGCCGATAAACAATAGTTGGAATGTGAAACAGGCATGGTGTCGAGCCTCACATTTGCTTCCTATGTACACACAACGAAAGTAAGCTCCCGACTGTGTGTAACAAGTGTGAAAAGGTCTTGACTCAATCCCAACAATACGACCTGCTTCCACTATTCATTTGTGGAATACGGAGAGTCGTGACTACGCTCAAGGTTATAGGGTCTCTTAGGTTCTGAAAGTTAAATCTGTCAAACGACCTGAGATAATTCAACGGTGGTCGCCACATTCAAACTTCTTTCGATTTGCAGTGCCACGCTAGCGTACACAATACGGAACAAGCTGAGGAACGAGGAAATGCAAGTAAACTTAGGAACGTTCAGTAATGGATATTATATAAGTGAGTTTTTAGAAGGAAGGTTATTGATGAGGTTGAAGGAAACCATTCGACAGTTCAAGATCGGCTTCACCCTTCTTGGGGGACATCTGGGAGAGGAACTGAAAAGGTATGAGTAAATGGTCTGCTGACAGATAATAACAAAAAAAAACAATTGCTCCGCTGTAACACCCTTCGGTGCCTAAGTGCCATGCCATCCGAAGGATGCACGAGGGCTGGGATACTGCCAGGTTGCCCAAGCCTGGACAGGGGAAGTCGAGAGACGGAGGTCAGGTTCGAACCACGGGCCTTCCGGTCAGTAAACTCGCGCTCTAACCACTGTTGGTAAGTGAATGTGCGAGAGAAGCCATCATCCTGCTAATTGCGTACGACCATCTTGGAATGATATGTAGGAGAATCGACAAGGATTTGGCAATCGTTCTCCAGGTAGCAGAGTTAGCTACCTACAACCTACGTTGGTCTAGCTATTCGAACCAGTGAAACCCAATCGTCATGGTGTGAAATGTACTATCTAAAATTGAAAGTGGACAGTGCCTAAAGGAACCGAGAATTGCCGACAAACAATAATTGGAATATGAAACAGGCATGGTGTCGAGCCTCACATTTGCTTCCTATGTACACACAACGAAAGTAAGCTCCCGACTGTGTGTAACAAGTGTGAAAAGGTCTTGACTCAATCCCAACAATACGACCTGCTTCCACTATTCATTTGTGGAATACGGAGAGTCGTGACTACGCTCAAGGTTATAGGGTCTCTTAGGTTCTGAAAGTTCAGAGTCGCTACCTGGAAGGTTTGTGTGGCGTCCAATCAAAGAGAGTTAAAAACTTGGTTGGAGGGGAAGTTAGTACATGCTGGACAGAAAATTCACGCGACCTGCGTCAAGTTGTTATAATTCAGATCGATAACAATTGGGATAAGCTCAATGCAACCCCCTGTTACGTAGCCAATCAAACTTCTCTGACTACATGGAGCTGAATAACTGATAAGACAATGAGCCACTTTGCGTCAACGTTTCTTACAGGTAAACCAGTTTGTATTATAAAATCAGCTCCGGATTGTCCTTATTTACGCACTTCTAAACGACCTGCAATACTAAGCAAACAAGAAAGGTTCTCGGCGGGAGAGAAGTTCCGCATTTGTTGAAATCTGCAGAGGTACCTGCTGCAATCAGTGAAAACTTTCACTTTCCCGACTCAAACGATGTATGCTAGTGATCTCATAGAGCTACCCAACAACTCAGAGGGACAATGTCTGGATGTGACAGACGCTTAGTCACTGATTACTGAAAAAATTGTTGAGCTGTCGCATGCTTTCGGTGCCCAAATGCCATGCCACCCGAAGGAAGCATGAGGGCTGGGTTGCTCAAGCCTAGACAGAGGAAGTCGAGATGCTGAGGTTGGAAACTTGGACCTTCCGGTCAATGAGTTCGCGCCCAACAGGATCTTAAACTCGGAGACTGAAAAGAAAGATATGACCAGCGGATTCTTATGTTCCTGGAAAAATACCGGAAGCTTGCATCGAACATAGATGACTTACAAGCCATCTTACGAGCCATCTAACAGGCCTGGGTAAGAAAGCGAATCAGACTCCGGACGGTGAGGGCATATGATTCAACGAAAACAACTCGTGAGAATGTTTGAACTACAGCAAACCTTCTACATAGTTTTATGTTGAGCGAAATGCACTGAATTACATCAAACATATCTAAAACAATACGATGAACACAAATAAACTGTGATTTCGGCACCTTGATTATCTAGCAGACAACATGAAAGAAAGGGATGAAAGTTGAAAAAAAAACTGTGTTCTGCATGTGGCTCGCCTCCTAGAGTGAAGTCCAAGTGAATAACGTCAACGTGGGCAAAAAGCCACAATATATGGCAACAGACAGAATTCACTAGTGTTCATGTAGCCAGGTTCTACTCAGGTTGCACAACTAGGTGTTGCAGATTTAGTAGTCCTTTTCTTTTCCAAGCTTTCTCTTGAATATAAACTACACCTTGCTTAATACTGATTACTGTAGTTGTACCTCAATGAATTACTGGTGTTCAATACACATCCGTGTTATAAACAGCCACGAGTTTACAAGTTGCTTCAAGCTATTACCATCTCATTCTACTGTATAGTGTGCTTGAAATCCCGCCGGCAGACAATGGCGAAAGAGGCGTTTAATGGAAAACCAGAAACCTAGCGTGCCGTAGTATCGAACAGTCGTTCTGTAGAATGAGCAAAGCGCTGCTAAGGAAGCGTCTGAAAAAGGTGTACAACACAGGTAGTGCAAAATCACTTCACCAGTTGTTAATGAAGACGACTAAATAAAACTACCCAGAAATGAAGTATCACAACCAGGTCCTTACTTGGGGAAGTTTATCTAATGCATCGTTGAAAAATACACAAGGCAACTTCGCGCCATGGAGAGAGGGATCAGTTACTGTCACGAATAATGAATAGCCAGAGCCCCTGGTCTTTACCGGTGCACGATGGAACTTGACAACTGCTATAACATTGACTGATCCGGCTGCATCCTTCAAGTTGGTGTACTGGTAAGCCTTTTATTCTGCATAAAAATATGTAGAATCGAAACCAACCTCGACCACCGGATGGGAATTTGATGTCATTCCATGGGAGTAATACTAATTGATTTGTCGTCACAGCGTTCCAGTCTGAAAGAATAATAATGAACGATCAGTTAGCTTTCCACTGAGTCATATAGAAAAAAATCGCCAATGAGCAGTAATTGAGCGCTTGATATCCGTACAATTTAAACTCTGAACATTTGGCCGGAAGCAAGCTACGGGACAATTCTAGTGAAAAGTGGCACTCAAGAAGCATCGGGTCTGCAAAATTCTGGGAGTCTGTGACCAAGTTTCGGTCCACCGACAACTCGGGGTACCCGGAGCACCTAGAGCGGTGCAAGATGTAGTCTATGTACTCCAGATAAACAAGCTTCTCACTGACGAGAATTTTAACATCTGGTTTTTGAAAACCTTCCGGTGTTCGCCTCATTATTTTGTCAACCACAAAGTTGAACAAGAACGGAAAGAGTAGACAGCTTTGTCGGACACCACCTTTTGTAGGAAAGCTTTTGGAGAACTCACCATACACTTTCACACGAATGTAGGGACAGGATTATGTTCACTTCTGAGTCATACTCTGTTGAGCAAGTGTAGTCCGTTAACAGGACTGACCTACAGAAAAAATCTGACGCATCCTTGAAGTCAAGGAACACTAAGATTATGGGTGATTTGTACAAGTGGCATTCCGGGATGGCTCAGTAGTTAGAGCACGAATTCACTGGCCAGAACATCCATGGTTCGAAGCCGACGTCAACGTTCCGTCTAGGCTTGGTTGACAGTATCCCAAGCCCCGTGCTCCATTCGGATGGAATGACAGCTAGACACCGAAATGGTGTTACAGCTGAACGATAATCTTTATCTTCACTGGAATATGTTCTGGGGTATACCCTGTTGAGGAAGTGTAGTGAAAAGCAGTGACCAAGCGACAGAATCAAATGCACCCTTGAAGTAAATGAGCACCAAGATTGTGGGTCGTCTGTACATGTGGCGTCGCTCCACCACCTGAGGGAGCATAAATATGTGGTCAAAGCAGCCTATACGCGTTCGAAATCTCACCTGATTCTCACGAGTCCAGGTTTCGCGTGCCACCGTAAGACGACGAAGAATGAATGACGTTAGAATTCTCGTTACAATAGGAATCAAACTAGCACCCCTGTGGTTAATACACTCACGGCGAGTACCCCTTTTTGAAAATAGGCATTATTATCTATTCACCTCAGTTGTCTGAGACGGTCTCTATCTCCAATATTCAGAGGCCATACGTTCTGAAGGAGCAATCCTTTGCACTTTGTGGGTGCAAGGCGCGCGCCGAAAAAATGTACGATGATGGTTAATCTATTCAACAGTGCTTGTGTTTGTCCCTCTTTTTCAATGAGGACAATATGGCCTGCGTACTCCAGAGTGATAAGGTCCTCACCACTAACGATTCGAATACGGGGTTTTTGAAGACCTTTACTTCATTATTTCATTAGTGATGAACAGCAATTTTTGTGGGGAAGATAGTAGAGAGCTCGCCATACACTCTGGAAGTTTGTGAATATAAGTACCAGATTATGTTCACAAACTTCTGAGGCATCCCCTGCTGAGCACGTGTAGTTAGGAGAACTCACCGATCGATAGAGTCGAAGACACACTTGAAGTCAAGGAACACTAAGAATGCGGGTCATCTGTACACATAGCGTGGCTTTGACAGATCACAGAGGAATATGTGGTCGAGGCGCCCTCTACCCAACCGAAACTGAACTTGATCGTCATTGGTTTGGGCTCCGTCTGCTGCCGTAAGAAGTCTGAAGCCTTAAGAAAATGGGATCAAACTGGTGCCCTTGTGATTAATACACTCACTTGGGGAGAGATGGCACAAGCGGTTAGAGCGCGAATTTATTGTCCGGAAGGTTCGTCGTTCGAATCTGACCTCTGCCTCTCGACTTCCCCTATCTAGGCTTGGGCAACCTGGCAGTTTCCCAACCCTCGTGCTCAGTTCGGGTGGCATGGCAGCTAGGCACCGGAAGGGTGCTACAGCCGAACGTAAAAAAAATACACTCACCGCGAGTATACATTTTGAAAATGGGTACAACTATCGATGGCTTGGACGGTCCGTGTCCCCATGTAAACGCAAATAACCTAGACAGTTAGTGACTGAGTAATTCCTCATCATCCTTGAACAGAGCAAGTGGATCCGTACTACAATACTTCGGTGAGTATATGGATCCGGGCACTACATATGCTAAATTGGCTTCCATATTCACAGTCCGCACTTCCGTCGAAAGCCGACAGTCAGTATCAGAAGCACTGTGTCCAAAGGCTCACACTTCCTTTCTGCTGGATAGCTGGTTTACTTGCCCGAACGGACAGCTGCGCATTGAAGTCGGGAGTTCTGAGTTTGCTGGTCACTGCTTTTATATTTCCTTGCCAGGTCATACACTGTCAACCGTCTCCCACTNTGCCAGGTCATACACTGTCAACCTCTCGGGTTGACAGGGTTTAGCAGAAAGAGCTCTGTGAAGTAGATGTCCGGCATGCGAACGACATATCACAATCAGCGGAACCTATGGAGTCCCCTGTTCCCAAAACCATCTGGTGTACGTTAGAATTGCAATTGTGATGTTCTCGCACAAAGCGTCCTACGACTCGGACACTGATGATCAAGCGCCAAAGGTTTCCGTGAATCCCCTACGCGGAGATATCATTTTTCTAGTCTACAAAGCTACATGAATCACACTACCGCATGCATACTATTATTGACAAACATGACGCCGGCATCAGAGGTCGAAAAAAGCTGTCCTAGCCTTACCGATTAGAGAAGTGATCTCTCCCACCAGCTTGTCCACTGGAACATATAAAACCAACAAGATAAATATATTTGACTACCATGTCGACTAGTTGCTTGCGAGCATGGTGTTTGGGGTCTATCAGTCTGAGTCTGGGTCTATCAGCCCTGAGCACTTAGCAAGTGTACAGTGCACACAAAAGCCGGGGTGGGGAAAATTGTTCAGGTAATTTAAAATGACTTGCACTTTTGAAGGAGCTGAACAACGAAGAGTAATACTGTTTGCATGCTCAATGTCTGTGAACAAAAGTCCCCGAAGCACTTCGACCCTTAAGGTTTTAGAGGCAGGGTTTAAAGCAGTATATCAATAACAAGTTTTCTGACGTGAAAAAACAAAGGTAATCATCGGATAAAGGAAAACGATCATCATTAGCCGCTTGAGAGACTAGCGCCGTTCAACCCATCTCGATACAAAGATATGGTCGAAGCACCGTCGACCAGGCCTAGACCCGGCCTCATTCTCACGAATCTGTCTTTCTGGGTAATCGATCAGCCTGCGCATAGGTACCAAAGAGCACCCTGGATGCTAGTACTGGCTGGCCGATGCTACGACGGTTTTCGTATGAAGTTCTATGCGCAGCCACATTAGGTTCAGCTGTAACACAGCTCGACAGTACCGGTCTGAGCTAGCCCAACAACTCTCCACAGTAAACCAATACTGTACTGGCAGTGGGCATGTGAATGAGCCGTGCCAAAATGTGAAATCAGCTATTTGGAACAAAGAGGAAGAGTCAGTAGAATGGGATGTGTTAACAATTATTCCTATCTTCAAAAAAAGCACGCAGACTCTGTGTGAAAACCACTGTGAAGTTAACCTGATAGCTGTGGCATCGAAGATCCCCTCTGGTCTTATCTTTCGACGGTCGAGTGAACACAGGGATAGGCAGATCCGCGAAAACCAGGCTGGGTTCCGTCATGCAAGAGGATGCATAGGTATCTCCCATAAATTTTTGGCCCTCTTTAAGGTGGTGTACGCCAACTCCCGCAGCTTTGTGAATGTCTACGGGAAGCTCTCGCCTGAGTTCACCACATCAAGTAGTGTCGGACATCACCTGAACCACGTCAGTGATACTATTATGGAAGATTCACTATCAGCCTCCAATGCTTGTGGAGTCGAAGTTCCCCCCGGATGTCCGCTCACAGATATCGAGTACGCAAGCGAAATAGCTCTTCTTGGGTCGGATGTCGTGGTAATGCTAATAATAATAGTAAATAATCTAAATGATAATGTCTCACAGTTTGGCATGCACTTCACGACTGCAAAGCGCTACTGTAAGACCGAGTAGACTCAAACTCTAACCGCATGCTTGCGAATGACCCGCTTGAGGTAGTAGACAAGTTTCTCCACCTGGGCAGCTGCGTTAGTCCCGGGGACACAGCGGAAGATGGTATTTCCGTCCGAATTAGGAAGGCCAGGAAAGGTTTTGTGAACCCGCGTCACCTGCAGCGTAGGCGTGACATCAGCTTTTCTGTCGAGGGTCGAGTTTACAATGCTGCGGTGCGCTCCATATTATTATACGGATCATAAACGTAGCTGGTGCGTGCCAAGGACGTCAAGACTTTATGTTTGGCCATCGATGTCTTCTAAGCATTGCCCGAATTTGGTGGGAACACCGCATCAGCAGTGCTGAAATACGCCGAATGGAATTTGGAAGAACAACTCTTCCACGATAGATGGACTGATCACAGTCCACAGGTTGCGCTGACTTGGTCACGCGCTCCGCTTGTCAGTTGACCGACTTCCTCGAAAGGTTCCTTTTGCAAAACCACGCTGCGTTATGGAGACCGTAAACATATCTGGCGAGGCAAGATAGAAGCAGATCAACCTAAAGTGATGTTTGAGCAACAACTGCAACTCGTAAAAGCACTTAAGGGACGACTATCAACTACATCTTTGGCTTCACCGGCTGCGTTGAGCGTCCCACAGTCGGTTGACAGAATCGCTGGCAGTGTCAACGAGTTTTGCTACGGAACATTGGCTGGTATAACGCTTGATGCTTGGAGCGTCCCAAGTCGGTTGACAGAATCGCTGGCAGTGTCAACGAGTTTTGCTACGGAACATTGGCTGGTATAACGCTTGATGCTTGGTTTTGTCGCTAGGAAGACCTGTTTAGGGTCGACTTTTCAATTCTGGATGATAACTGGAAGGTTCGCCTTCTGATCCGCAAACCTGGACCCGCAGCGCATGATGTATGCCATCTAAATCCTTCCAAAGAACCCAAGTGACTTCAGTTTGGACGAAACGGTTAGCACGCTTTCGCAAATATTCCAAAATCCGTTATCGATGCCTGAAGCTGGTGAAGTAACAGACAACTTTCTCCATTATTCTGGCATCATGAACCGGAAATGCGAACGGTTCAAACCCGGATCGTTACTGGAAGATCGGTTCAAGTCGCGGTCTACAATCCCCGAAGAATGCAGAAATTCATACCCGAGTCCTCAGTCGCATCGAGCAGAACCCAGCAATGACGATGCAGGCCATCACCACGGAATGTCAACGATTGCTTAACCTAAAGCACGACGCCGGGATAGTCCAACTTGGGGATCATGGCGGTTCCGATGGCCATGCAATCTATCAGGCCATGCAACAGCTTGGTCCTATCAACTCGGGCCGGACCGAATCGGCTTCAAAGTATTCTGGTCCAAAGTAATACAAAGACCCAAAGAAGGCACCACAATTCACAATGTTGGCACTGTGGAGCCTGGCATTTCGTCAGGTTCTGTCCCTACAAGCAGCACCGGTACCGCCTATGTAAGTCCGTGGGACACAAAGATGGTTATTGTCAGTCACGGATGCATACGGCCTCTGGGGCTTCAAAGCCATCATCACGCGTCCGTCCTCTGGGGCTCAAAGCCATCATCACGCGTCCGTCCCAAACAGAAATCGAACCCTGTAGGCTCCTCTTTCAGTCTGCTGGTTACTTTACAGATCAACATCCCATGTTACCGAAAGTATCTCACAGTCGCTGTCAATGGTCATCCAGTCGGTCTGCAGTTGGACACTGCGTCGGACATTACCATCATTTCAGAGAAGCTTTGGCGCATTCTCGGAGGACCTTCGACCACACAGGGCGCTCGAACAGCAACCAGTGCCTGCGGTGGAGAGCTAAATCTTTTCGGTGAGCTCCAACGGTGTGTATCTTTTCGGGGCACTACATTCGTGGGGTCGTGTTATGTAACGACAGCTGAGCTGAACTTATTGGGTCTTGATTGGTTCGATCGCTTGGGGTTAGCCGACATTAAGATCAGTCAATTGCATTACAGTTCAGTATCCCGCGGCGCATCAATACCATGGATCCGACTTTATAGAGCGATTTCCAGTTGTTTTCCAATCCGCTCTCGGTCGGTGCACTACGACACAAGCAGTCCTCCACCTCCCGCCGGGTGCTACGCCAGTCTCCCATCCAAAGAGACCAGTCTCCCAAGCTTCCCTCTCACTGGTAGACATTGAACTTCAACGGCTGGAACAAGGCACTCTGTCCCCTGTATTCTACTCCGCTTGTGCAGCGCCATTCGTTGTAATGAAAAAGCTCAACGGTGACATCCGCAAATGTGCCAATTTCCCAACCGGTCTAAATGCCACTCTCCACCAGCACCACAATCCACTACCAGTGCCCGACGATCTATTCACTGTTCTGAACGGCGGAAAGTTCTTCGCGAAAATCAACCTTCCTAATGCATATCTTCAAGTTGAAGTCGCACCAGAATCACGCCCACTGTTGACAATCACCACACACATTGCGGGCTGTAACAATACACCCGTCTCCCACTTGGCGTCTAAACTGTCCAGCAATTTTCCAGTAGATGATGGGCACCATCATTTTTTGGCATTCCAGGTGTGGTCGCATACCTGAACGAGGTGCTGATCGCTGCTGTTTCGCCGAAGAGCTTCTCGGCCGGATCAATATTGCCTTGCTGCGCACTCATGACAATGACCTCCATCTGTGTCCTGAAAAGTGCCAATTCTTCTTGACAATAGCGAAGCATCTTGGTTTTATCTTCGACGCCTCTGGTTGTCACCCTGACCCGGAGAACGTTCCAGCGATACAGCAGATGTCACCTCCTAAGGATATCCCATCGCTACATTCCTTTTTAGGGATAATCAGTTATTATTCGGCGGTTTTCCATTCGCTACATGACAATCGAGCCCTACTGAATCAATTATTTGGAAAGGACGTTCCCTGGTGTTGGTAAGGACAATACGAGGAAGCATTTTGCAGGATAAAGGCGATATTCAGTTCCGATCTACCACTGACCCGCTAAGACCTAAAGCTACCGATCGTCGTGGCAGCTGGTGCCTTTACTTTTGGAGTCGGTGCCGTCATCCTGCACGTCTTTATCAGACAGCTCGGAGAAAGCATCATGCACGCGTCGAAATCACTAACGCCAGCAGAACAGCGATATGGAAGGATAGAGAAGGAAGCGTTGGCCTTAGTGTTAGCAGTTCGGCGTTTCCAAAAGTTGTTGTCGCCGTTTCACCCTACCGATAATAAACCCTTACCGTCTACTTTCGGTTCAAGGGAGGTGTTCCTGCACATCTTACCAACAGCCTGCAAAGATGGGCGCTTATTATGCTGGGTTACGACTTTGGTATTCAATATCGTCGCACCACTAACTTTGGTCAGGCGGAAGCATTATCTCGCATGATCAGCAATCAGCCAACTCACGGAGAAGACACGGTTACTGCGCAAACTGCTTTCGAGGATGCAGCCGGCCCCATTTGGTACAGTCTGTTCGTGCACTGCACGTGACAGTGACAGAGGTTCAACAACATACAATAGCTGATTCGGCGCTTCAGAAGGCGATTCAGTCCGTGAATTCTGGCTGTATTGTTGCTCGTATACAATCGCGCCGTGTTTCCTCAAGCTTTACGCCACGGAGTCCTCCGTCAGTTCCATTCCGGGCATCCAGGAAGAAATCGCATGAATTCAATAAGGCAGCTATGCCTGCTGGCCGCGTATAGACCAGCACACTACTGACTTTGTAAAACGCTGCTCCTGATTCTAACTGCTAAGAGCCCGCCACGTTAACCACCATCGACAACATAACATTGGTGCTCAGCACCGATGCTTCGCTGCCGCACAACCATGAATTATTTGAAGGCCTTATTGTGAAGAAAAGAATATATGTGGACGGAAAAGGGATTTATTGCTGGCATACTGAATATATGTGGAAAAGGGATTTATTGCTGGCATACTACAATCATCCCGAGATGCCTACACCTCCAGACACTCATTCGGGCAATCTGGATGGATAGAGTTTTCTTCGGGATGGTTAGGCTTACGCCACACATGTCCAAACCAGAGCTGGTGCTGGACACTGTGATGGTTTTTGTGTGCTTATTCTTATCTTATACTTATATACTCGCAATGAACTTTTGTATGTACATTTCAGTTCATGTACGCTTGTTCCTAGACAAGTAAAACGTTGCTTATCCTCGAAAACCTGGACTCTGTTCTAACTCGTCCTCGGACTCTTTCTAAACATCTCAATTTACTTGTCTAAGAACACAATGGACCCGCAACTACGACCTCGGTTCTTCGACGCTGACCCAAACTCCGCAGATGCAGTAAAACGTTGGCATCACTGGTTTCATACCTTCGAAACCTATTTGAAAACCGTCGAATTTTCTAAACCCGACAAACTTGAAACTCTCATCCACTTTCTCGATCCGTTAGTATACGACCACATTGCTGATCACAGCGACTATGAATCTGCAATCGACACGTTACGGAAATTATACGTCCGTCCAAAAAATGTCATATATGCACGCTACCTGTTACAGACCTACAAGCAGGAGAGTGGACAAGATATCGATCAGTTCGTACAAAAACTGAAATCATTAGCCAAAGACTGTGAGTTTAAATCTGTGTCTGCAACTGAATATCAAGATGAGTGCGTGCGTGATGCTATAATTAACGGCCTGGCGTCCACGTCCATCCGCGAGAAACTTCTGATTCGTGGCTATCCTCAAGTGCAGAAAGGCCAAAGACTAAGATGCTTCAACATCAACAACGGAAATAAAAACAATAGTAATCATTGAGCTGTAAAACCCTCAAACAAAATATGACGATAATACTGATTTGTTCCGATCGGTATGGTGAAGCTATTGTGAAGCTATTTATGATCAAGTGTTTTAAAAAACCACCTGCACCAACCCGCAAACAATCAAATAAACAATTCAACCCAGTATGATTTTGGCACCACAGTGCAAGCAGCGCTCAGAGCGGAACAGACTTTTGTCTCGGGTACCCATCCCGAGAAAGTGGACAGTGGTCTGACCCTTTTGTTGAACAAGTCATCATTGAACAGCGCGTGGTGGATCGGCGGTCAAGGACAAGTGGTAACGAAGTGGAGCTCTATCCAGTCAGTGGTATTTTCAGTAAGCTGCGAACACTCAGTGACAGCACTGAGATTGAGGTGACTAATCTTGAGGTCATCTCACATTGGGAGAGAGTGCAAGACTTGCCACAGGTTTGGCCGCCGCCGTTCTCCGGATAGAGCGTTTTGTTTGACCGTCATGACATGAATGATTCATAAGATGCCATTTATCTAGCAACTCAATCAATCTATCTATCAGCTATAAACCGTATACCATAGGCACATTGGTCCCAGCCGCTACGGTTTCGATCACCGCAAAGCGCGGGTGTGCAATGTACAACCAAGCCTTGGAGACGAAAGAATATTCAGTTTGTTCGGAAATTGGGAGGCTACGCATTAAAGGCGATAGCTTTGATACATGAGCGCCACTGACTGCGCGATTGGGCCATTTCTGCCAATGCCATCAACCACCGCTGATTGGAGTCCCGGGGTCCCAATCCAGGGAGGCCGTTGCCCACCCGACTTAGTTTAGTCGTTAGTGTTTTCTTAATTCGCTGCCAGTTCATACACTGTCTACCTCTCAGTCGCTTCCACTGAGCACAGGGCTGGGTAAAAGGAGCTCTGTGAGGCAGACGGTCTTCTGGCATGCGGAGTACATGCCTCGACCAGCGCAACCTATGAAGCGTGAGTAATTCATCTATCGTGGGAGATTTCCTTCTTCCTAGGACCATCTGGCGTACCTCAGCATTACCAATCCGATGGTCCATCCAGGCCTGACCAATGCTGCGGAGACACCGAGGATCAAACATTGACATCTTCCGTTTGTCCTCTGCGCGCGGAGCCAACATCTCCGATCCATAGAGCAGTATGGATCGCACCAACGCAGTGTAAGCTCTTCCCTTGACAGACAAACTCACGTCACGTCGGCGCCATAGATTTCGGAGGTTGGCAAAAGCTGCCCTGGCCTTTCCGATTCGAAAAATGATCTCATCTCCAGCTAGTCTACCGGAATTTATGCAGATGCCCAGGTAAACAAATTTATCTACCACCTCGATTGGCTCACCTGAAAGAATGAGATGTGGGTTTGATCCCACCCAGTCTTGTAGAAGCACTTTACACTTTTCATGTGTGAAGCGCATGCCAAACCATGCGGCAGAGTTACTTAGGTTGTTTCAAACTGTTTGCATTTGGATATGATCTGAACCAAGGAGAGCAATATCGCCTGCATACTCAATGTCTATGAGGGAACGTCCCTGGGGATTTCAACTCCCGAGGTTTCAGAGGCAGACAGAGAAATTTCAAACACCATATCAGTCACAGAGGAAAGTCTTGACTTACACTGGAGGTAGTGAACTCAGGCGAGAGCTTACCGTATACTCGTACACACCCACAGGAGTTCGCATACAGTGCCCTCATGATGGCTAGAAATTTGGAAGGGACACGTTTGATCGCCGGACACTGCCAAAGCTGCTGACGATCGACAGAATCAGAAGCAGCTTTCAAATCATCATCATCATCGACAGCATGACATCAGTGTTCAACACTGATGTTTCACTTCCATACAACCATGATTTATTTCAAAGCCTTATTGTGAAGAAAAGAGTAAACGTGGACAGGGAAGGGACTTAGTGCTAGCTCACCACAATCATTCCGACAGTCAGTTATTGATCCGCGCCATCGGTAACTGATGACAATGTGGTCCATTTGAGTTTGTGGCCGGTGACTTAGCACGATAACAACCCCTGCATATCCCACTGCAGCAGCCTCTGGATCACCAGAGGTGTGCAGCCTGAAGCGATTGGAGACTGATGGGATGGTTGGCTCAATCAATGTGCTTGAATCTTGAATTCTAGTTTCCGAGACACAGCACACACCAATGCCAAGCGAGTCCAGTTTGAGTGCAAAAGCAGCTTGTTGTCCTGCTTGCTTCAGAGTGCAGACAGTGAACGCGGCCAGATAGACTGGATGTCAAGGCTTGAGGACTGATTTGGAGATTCCTTAAGACGTCGGCGCCATGTGACGAGCAGATGCTGCACGCAAAACCGATGCATGACGAACGGAGTCATCAGTCCTAAGTGCTGGACCTACAAGGAGAGAGTTATTAATGGGGTGGGGAGAAGGGGGAGAAAAAGCATATGAAAGAGAAAGAAGGGAGGTGTTAGCTATAGTTTGTTTTCCGTTACCCGCCCTGCTGTATGCAGCAAGTAAGGCGACCCGGCTGATGGCATTACACGACGGCCGATGTGGCATGAGAGCATTGATGGTCGTGAATGTCATGGTTGCACGAGGACTGGGATACTGCCAGGGCACCCACACCAACGTGGGACGTCTGAAGGAGTGACGCTGTTCAAGAATTTGTCTCAAGGTAAAGACACGGTCGATTCATCTTCGACCGTGGAGAAACCTAGCTTGATTCTCACGAATCTGTCTTTCCCGATAATCCATCAGTCTGCGAAAAAAAATGCCAGACAGCACCTTGGATGCGACGATATCAGGCTGGAACCACGAAGGTTTTCACGTGACATTCATTCTTCCTTTCCGAAATTTGAGATGACGGTTGAGAAGCTGCATTCCGCTGGTATTCTGTTTCGGTTCCAAATCTTCTGCAGTGTGGTTGTCAGACTATTCACCAGGAATTCGCCATCCTCTTTGAAGAGCGCGCGGTGTAGACCTTCCGGGCTAGGTGCCTTATCGCGATTCAGGGTTGGAATTTCACGCTGGATTTCGGTTGCTTATGATGGGTTGGTGTCATGTTCCATTCTGGCCCGCTTAGTTCTTCCAGCGGTTGTGTTGAAGGAGACCAGATGAACTGTTCTTCGAAGTGCTCGACCCACCGCTCAAGAAGGCGAATGAGGGAGTGGATTGCTCTATCTTTTTCGCATATTGTTTCACTGACACCTGCCTCTTTTTGACCCGTTGATCGAATCAGTTGGAACAAGGCGTGGATGTTGCCTGCAGCGAAAGTCTTCTTCATTTCTGTCATGATTTTTGTGTGCTTATTCTTATACTTACCATATATACTCGTACTGAACTTTTGTATGTACATTTCAGCTCATGTACGCTTGTTCTTAGACAAGTAAAACGTTGCTTATCCTCGAAAACCTGGACTCTGTTCTAACTCGTTCTCGGACTCTTTCTAAACGCCTCAGACACATTTTGCAAGCCCGAGCTATACCTTACCCCCTGCTCCCTAGAGGCAGGTCGAATTTCTAAAGCTAAATGGGTCAGGCTATTGAGTCAGCGGTTACGTGAAGGGTCTTCAAGTGAAACCCTACATCCCGGTGCCTTGTAGTGCCGACTTTCGAGTCAAAGACCTAAGTCTCCTAATAACATAATAATTGTCTTACAGTTGTAGCACCCCTTCGGTGCCTAGCTGCCATGCGGCAAAAAGAAAGCATGAGGGCTGGGACACTGCCGGGTTGCCCAAGCCTAGACAGGGGAAGTCGGGAGGCAGAGGTCGGATTCGAACGACGGACCGCTTTAGCTACTGAGCTATCTCGTCAATACTGCATTCCTGTTCCCTTTGTGAAGATTGGGATCCTGGCAGGAACGCTCTATTCCACTGGTATTGTTTTCCTCTTAAGCCATTCACAGTGGGGCCGTCGGACAGGTAACCAGGATTTCATCACCTTTGAAATGTAGGAAGTTCAGATCATTCGGGTCGGATGACTTGTCACGTTGAAGGAACGATATCTCACACTGGATTTCATTTGTTAATGACGGCTGGGAACAGATTCCACTTATGCCCACTAGATAATTAAGGAGGTCGTATTGAATGAGGCGAACGGAACTGTTCTTTAAAGTGTCCAGTTCATGACTCAAAACTACGATTATGTGAATGAATCACCATCCGATCTTCCCACGAATTGTTTCGCTGACAATTGTCATTTGGCAGGTCAATCGAGTCAGCTGAAGCTGAGCATGACGGTCGCGAATAGCAACAACCTTTTGCACTTCCGGAGCCTTAAAAAACCAGAAACGTCCCATTATTCAGGCTCAGCATTACCCATTGTTTGGGGATCTGAGTGAGACATCGTGGTCGCTACTTGCTGGTATGGCTTTTCTAGCAACAATAAGAACAGCTAAAAACCAGAATAGTTAGTTACTTCGTTCGGTTGGATAGTCTGGGCAGATACCCTTAAAGGTTGACGGAGTGCTTCTTTCACTCCCTTCTCCACTAAGCTCCACCAACCTTCGTCAACAGCTTCGCAGTGCGATTCACGAGCGTGCCAACCTGATTAGGTCGATATTGTTGAGCTATTAAGATCAGTCGAATTTGATGGATGAAGTTGCTCTGCTTTGACATGCGTGATCTTGAGGGAAACGAACTGATAACTGAACACGCAGCTCGGAGTCAGCTTGCATGCTCTAGAAGGAACGGCAATCAATAGATGTGGCTCTTTATTGGTAACTGAAGGCCATATGTTACAACCAAGCGTATAACTGGCTTGTGGTTGGTATCCTCAGAGTAACTCAGTGTGAGCCCTTGTGCCGAAATTTTTACTGGCCAGGAACAGACGGTGTTCAGCGCACAACTGAAGAATTTCTCGCCATCATCCGTACACCGAATATCAACTCCGAATTTTCCAGCTACCTGAAATTATTTCAGCATTAGAAGTCAAACACGGGCAGCCATATCCACTACCTGGATGATTACGTTCGTTCTTTGTAACTGGAACAGTCACCAGAAATCCCGCTAAAACCTATCTCTCCAGGTTTAAGAACTACAGTCGTAGCTCTGGAGTACCTCAACAGACTAACTTTTCTGTGAACAAGCTGGCTCAAAAACCAGACCACTCACTGTATCAACCTGCATGTCTCTACGGATTGATACACAGGATTGGAAGTTACGCCCTAGTTGCCTGGATCTAGTTTGTTCCTGTCGTTCAGCGGTTTCCGTTCATTCAAAGGGCACAAAGAATAGAAGGGTGCAACACAGCTCCCAAAAGTTCCCAGATCTGGGCAGTGATATTGCCAGTACGGGGACTCACATAGAAAATCCCCCCAGGATACTTTTTAAATGGGTCCTAGATGCAGCGTGAACAACCGTCGGAGGGCCACTCCGTGCACCAACTATCCGAAACGAGAAAAAACCGCTGTTTGACAAAACGCGCGGTCCGATCCAGAGGAGTAAAGAAGTGGGCTAAAGTAGAATAAAGTAGAGTCGAGCAATGTTTTATCCCATGGTCCGGGTAAAGTTCAAACACCAAGAGCCAGAGTTCTGAAAAATAAACAAGCCGACACGCGAAACACACTCGTGAGGCAGTGCAAACCAACCAATCAGTTACCAGAGTGTGGACTGTAAACGGACCAATCAAGATAAAGAATGAAACCACAGTAAACACGGTTGATAAAAGTCCAAATAAAACTTGGAATGCGGACAACGAAGCAACACATATTGCGATAATACAATACAAGAAAGCGGTAGGATGGTGAAAAAGTTAAATCCAATGCACCAATGAAACAGAAGGAAGGCAGATCACAAAGCACCAAACATCGGGATCTAGCCAATGAAAACAATGAGTAAGATATCCTCCTGACGGCAAATTGCGTCAGAGGCACAAGACACTGTATTAACTTCGTAGATGCACGCGATAATAGAGGCTTTACCTACGCAAGTATGTGCTGCGCTCATAGTGGGAAACCATTGCAAGCGAGTTGCTGGGCTCCGCTTGTGAACTGACCTCCGCCCAGCCAACAGCGTAAGAAGCATTGCGGATGACAATTTGCGGAGGCAAACAAGCAGGACACAACTGACATTACTTCGCCCGATAAAGTAGAGTCGAGCAATGCTTTTATCCCATGATCGGTCCGGGTATCAAACACCAAGAGCCAGAGTTCTGAAAAATAAACAAGCCGACAAGCGAAACACACGTGAGGCAGTGCAAACCAACCAATCAGTTACCAGAGTGTGGACTGTAAACGGACCAATCAAGATAAAGAATGAAACCACAGTAAACACGGTTGATAAAAGTCCAAATAAAACTTGGAATACGGACAACGAAGCCACAAACATTGCGATAATACAATACAAGAAAGCGATAGGATGGTGAAAAAGTTAA